GGATAAGAGCTGCCGAATTTGACATAGTTGGAGTAGGCATGTGCCACAACTGTGAAGAACCGTGAAAGTGTATTTTCAGCTCCAATGCTGCTTCCTTTCAGGTATTATCGTTTTCTGCATTGCTTTGGGCATTTCTTTGTCACAACTTGGAGCTGAAGCTGATGTGATGATCCAGTTCTTTGCAATCATGGATAAAGTCATCATGAAGCTCGTGATGACTGTCATGTGGTGAGTAAGGCTCGATACTTAACAGCTTTGTCAGTTCCCTTGCAGTAGATATCCTGTACGGTATTCTGAATTCTCTTCTCTCTTGCGTACGTCATGATTTGTAGGATAAGCTATTGAAAACCTCTCAAGCTTAGCTCTTTTTTCTTCCTTTACAAGAACTGTCTTCAAGGTACTCACCTTTCGGTATCATGTGTTTGATTATGGGCAAAATCCTTGAGATCCAAGACCTTGCCGACACAGCTCGAATGTTGGCAATGTATATGGTTACGGTATGCCTTTTCATCTTATTTTCAGTTCCTTTCCATATTCAGTTTGTTTCCCTATCAAATATTCTATATAGAACATGGCGATTTCATCTCACCCTATAGTCATCTTTCTGCCCGTACCGACTGTCCCTCCATGATAATTTCAAAGGGATTCGAATTGAAAACAGTCGTTTCGCCGACAGGAGATGTCGTACATTGGCTATATCAGCGAGGGAGAGTCGTATTCAGAGGATTGGGTGGTGGGAGGCTTGGCGTACCAGGGGAGTTTTTGAAATAGGTCGTATTCTGCAAAATTCCCCGAAAGGTAGGTATAATCGCCCTTAAAGGCTCTTCCCGCGACTGCACATCATAGGTAGCAGAGTTCAAAAACAGGAGTGCATTGTGCTAGTTGCTTTAGTAGTGAAGAAAAAGTATGAAAAACCGCCCTCAATATGACCCTCCTCCTTGCACTTGATCATGATCATCGGACGAGAGTAGGATGGTCAAGATCAACAGTGATATGCAGAAGGTGACGATACACTGCAAAGCGCGGAGAGAGACCAGAAAATGACGGGCGAGAGAGCACAACGGCATTAGTACGACGACACGGGCAATGTAGGCCGGCATAGGGACTCTCTTTTTTTCTTTTTTTCTTCTTTTATCTTCTTTTTTTTTTTTTTCTTCTTTTCTTCTTCTTTCTTGCTTCTATGGGGCCTAAAACTCGAATTTCTCGCGCCTTCTGCATGCTACTTTCTACGAGTTTTTGAACTGCAGTGCACACCTTACACATTTGCCCCTTCACCGCGATCATTCTGAACAACATTTAGAGGCGACTATATGATTAGGCCCTTCATTTGTATCCCGAGGAAAGTGACTTGAAAAAGGTGTCTTCTTCTTCTCCCTAGACCGTTAGTCCCGCGCCGTCGCAGGGTCCGCTGTTCTTGTTAGACGTCGCCATTTGTTCCGATCCACTGCATCTTCTGCCGTGGCTTTCACTTCAGTGAGGTCCTTCTTGATGACGTCCCTCCATCTTTTCTTTGGGCTTTCTCGACGGTCTTCGTTGCCTTCCACTCGAATTTCCAAGGCTTTTTTCTTATTGGGTGGTCTTCAGGCCTCCTCAGTACGTGCCCATACCATCGCAGTCGCTGCTCTCGTGCTTTCAGCTGGATCGGGGCCGTCTGTGTGACCGCCCTGACATCCTCGTTTCTGACTCTGTCGAGTCGTACTGTACACGCACGCATCTCAGCATCCTCATTTAAGCTGAATGGAGCTGCCTTTCATGGTTCTTGCAGATGGGCCAGCACTCACTACCGTAGAGCATTGTAGGCCTTACCACCGCCCGGTACACCTTGCCCTTGAGTGTTCTCGAGCACCGCCGGTCGCACAGGATTCCAGTGGACTCCCTCCATTTCATCCAGGCTGCGTTGATTCGGGCTTTCACCGCCTGATCCACGCTGCCATCAGCTGATAGGTGGCTCCCCAGGTACTGGAAGTCCTCGACCCTTTCGATGCTCTCGCCGTGACTTGTAATGGTGTAGCTGTATAAATTGAGTAGGTGACCAACTAACGAGTTTACCACTATTGCTCCCCTTTCATAAAAAACGCTGAATAAGAGACGATAAAAAAAGTAAGTTAGTTTCAAAAATCTTGCTCAGGAAAATCTTCTGAATTTTCAGGTTCTAACCGGATTAGCTGTACACTCGCTTATTTCTCTTCCCCTCATATTCTTCCTAACTACTCACAAAAACCCTTTCACGTTTATGCGAGGTCTACTTCAAGCATGGATCACGGCTCTTGGAACAGCGTCTAGGTATACTTTTCATTTATCTGTCAAGCTCATATAATGACTACCAGTGGTACGCTTTCAGCTCTGCTACTTTACCCATCACCTACAATTGCTTGGAGGAGAACCTCGGAGTTGATCGACGGGTGACGCGATTCGTTCTGCCCGTGGGAGCAACTATCAACATGGTGAATTTATTTATTTATTTATTTATAATGCACGCATGGGTGCGCTACATGTCAATGAAAACGGTTAGGTTACAAAAAATGCAACAGTCAATTGTCATGTCAGAGGAAAAATGAACAAAACGAAAAAAAGATACAAATATAGCAACACAAATTCACATGAGTAAGAACCACTCCAGACTAGAACCATCTAAAAATCCTGCAATCCTAACAAATTCATCAGATCGACCTTTTTTAGCTTACTTCTAAACGCATAGGTGCTAGGCGCCCTCTGCAGGTCTGATGGCAGGGACTGGAGCCATGGAGTGAAGTGACTTCTGAAGATTGAGTATTGCCTCAAGATTTGAAGCTTTAGAAAGAACACTCAAATTAAACATTAATACGGTTGGCCGAGAAATGTTGATGACACAGGGAAGAAGGCACGCCTTGCTGTTATGGAAGAATATTCAAAACACAACCCCCCTCAACATTTTTTCTGTGGTACGACCCGCCCTACTCCTTTGCCCGTCTTGTCTACCACCTTCCTTTCTCTCACCAGCATTCACTAGTTTTTGCCTAAGAAGCTACCTTCACGGAGGCACGACTCGGCGATGCGTGAGGCGGAGAATGCAGAGAAAGTCAACTTCGAAAATTTTTTTTCAAGAGCAAAAATACGACCATCAGCGAATCTTATACGACCCCCCCCCCCTCACCCACACACAAACACAACACACAAAGGTCTAACTATGGCGATACGGGTATTTTAGCAGGAACTAACAACATAAACTAGTGAGTGTGCAAAGTGCCCCGCCCCCCCCCCTCCTCCTCCCTAGGCCGCACAGCGCCTCAAAATTATTAAAAATTTCTAGGTCAAATAAAATGTCCAAGGATTATAGGATGGAACAGCGCTGTACGAAGCGGTTGCGGCCATCTTCATCGCTCAAATGAATGGAGTTAATTTGTCATTTGGACAAGTCGTTACCGTCAGGTGAGTCTATTGATGCCGACGCTAGGCTTTTAGTCTCTCATTTCGTTCCCTTCAGTCTCACTGCCACTTTGGCTTCTATTGGTGCAGCATCGGTGCCCTCTGCCGGTCTGGTCACAATGCTACTCGTGCTCACAGCTGTCGGACTTCCTGTGAAGGACGTCTCACTGATTGTTGCTGTTGATTGGTTATTGTAAGTTGAGATTACGTCTTGACAGGGTCTTATTGGCGCTAGCAACCTTTGCTTAAGCTTGAGTTCTCGGGTATCGCAAAATTCGTAGGAGTGCCGTGGTTCTAGAACTGAAAAGGGGAATACTGAAACAACAAAAAGAAACCGAGGCAGCCCATTCTCAATTCCGAGGCGCCAATGAAAGAATAACACAGATGAACAACTACACACTGAAACCTATACGAAGCTGCACTGTATGTCACGGCGATGTAACCGAAAGGGTCGATCATGGTTCAATTCACACGACTGACTTGATTGAACCTCAACCATCAGGTCCAGAATGGTTTGAAGCTCTAGGATGAGGCCAGGAAGCGAGAGCGACGCTTATTTCGCTCTGCAGCTGTAATTGGGTTTCGCCTAGGCGTGGATTGAGGTGTCTTGCAAGCTCGGCGCTCCTACGCGTTCAGATTTACGCGCATTTGAGGTTACGGTACCCCACCTGTTTTCCCAAACCAATAGTTTAGTGCTATTAGAAGCGGGCAATTTGGCCTACTGATTGGTCCACGTAATTCTAAAATTGTTCAGAGATCGTATTCGCACTTCTATCAACGTGCTTGGAGATGCATTCGGTGCTGGAATAGTTTATCACTACGTTAAAGAAGATCTCATCGCTCATGATCGTGTTCATCCGATGCGTACATTGTCATTGGGTAAGCTTACCTTATCCTTACCCTTACTCTTACCATTGCAAACAGTCTGTTTTAGCGACGCCAGCAGGTTTTGTCGCTGTTGCGAACAGAGGCGACGATGGTTCGTTTAGCCAAGTTCCTAAAACTTTCTCACCCCTGCTTCTGCTTCTAGATCTCTACTCTATAGTATATCATTACATTTTCCGTCGCAGTTCGGCTAGGAGGGGGCTCAGCGGTTGTGCAGGCCACGTGCAGGAATTCACAAGCCATGGGATGACTAGTGAATTCCTGTTAATAAAGTAACTCACTTGTACCACTTGGCAGCTTCGCGAGTGTTTACACGTCTCACCAGGGTTAGACCTGTTGATTGGCATGAGCTGCAAAGGTGGTAAGCGCCCTCTTGAGCCGAGCAGTGCCAATTTCCGACCGGATCCTTGAAAACTGTTCTTTGGCATGGTACAGTTAAGCGTAGCTTACTCTGTATAACTCTCAAAACCTAATCCGCTCATGCACTATCCTTCTCAGGTCAGATACAGCCCCTAAAACTGTCAGAGTTCGAAAAGCTATGCCCTCCTGGGATGTGAGACAAAACTCACCGTAAGAAAGAAAATGCGAAATATACCCAGCGATGACGTAGTGACCAAGAGTACCCTTCCGTCACCTCAAGGCAGCATCCTTGCTGACGGGCTTGACCTCCTTTCTTTTTGGAGCTCCAAAAACGAGCGTCAAAAACATTTCTGAAGCTGCCTAAAGGCGCCTTTGCGGTGATTATTATGTTGAAACGCCTTAACTTAAAATGCAACTGGTATCTTCTTATGCACATGATGATGGGAGTTGTCACATTCGCTGCTAAATGTCTGGGCAGCTCCTTCATTCTGCCTAGAAAAATAATTTGTTTTTCCAATGGAGCAGTTATCATATGGAATGTCACGAGGCTGATCGTTTAGAGAAGTTCATTATATATTGAAGAACTATTAAAATCTATGAAATAAAGCCATATCTGCCGTCCAGCGCTTAAAATGGAACAAGTAGTGCATGTCTCTCTTCTAACAGCTGGATCGTATGTACCTTCAATAGTACCTTGTCATTTCAGAGTTGCCCGAGGAGAAGCAGCCACTCCATGGTGTCTATACCAGTGTGCCGGTGGACGAAAAACGACGCTAAAGCTGTCCATAAACGTTAATAATCCATAATCCTAAGTGAGTTTCAGCCTTCAGAGACCGTTACAGCATAGTCGTCTAATGTGTCAGTATAACAATCGCTTTCTGCCTGAACGTTTCAGAGATTACGTACTAGGGGCACCATTATTTTAACGCCACGGGACCCAAGAAATTTATTCGATTTCATTCTTCAAAGCCATATTCCGCGCTGCCAGGATAGGCGCAGAACCGCGTGGAGGCATTGAGCTTATGCTTTCTCATATTTGTGTCACTCCTTCAGAAAACAATAAAGAGAGGGAGTGCATCAATGAGAGAGCATGATGGTCTCCGCCCACTCCTCCGCCCATCCCTATCGTGGAATGTGTCGCTAAGAGGGCATTGTTACCAACACCTATGGTTGATAAACGGTCTTAGAAGTCTAGAGCACTGAAGGCCAAAGGAGTGATAAGGATTGGATACCAAAAGGAAATTTTCGTTCAATCTGTTACTATACGCCCTTATGACCCGTTTACCATGACATCATTCCTAGCAATATCTCTTTACCTACTCTCCTTGAATTTGGCATGGTTTACCGTACGTTTTTTTCGTTGTCGTTCTTCTCGAAAGCACAGATTGTTGTGACCGGAGAGCTTGACATGTTATCTATCTCAATTAGTATTGATGTTTTTAGTTTTATAGCCGATTTTAGGAGTATGTTGATATGTTTTCGTATTATTTTTATACGGTGCGCTGGATTCGATGTCTCCTTTACCTAGACTTACCCGGTTAAACACCAGTTGCATCCCTGTGAATGTATACAAATTCCTACTTAGACTTTAATAAACCTGTTCAAATCTTGTTCTCTCAAATAGTTTCCGGCGGACACGATGGCGGAAAAAAAGAGTCGCGGCTGTACATGCGTATTTAGTTCAGAACATCCAAGGCGTGGTATCGCACGCGAACAGGTTAGCTTTGAAATCAACTAGCCACGTAGGCTAGGATATCATGCTGGGGCGTTAACCCAGGTTGCTAGGTATGATATCCTACTAGCTAGTTGATTCCACAAATAGAAACCGGCAGGCTCTGCAGGACATGAGTGATATGGCGGCCAAAGTGCTGTCGAGTCAACTAGCCAGAGATGTACATGCTCGTACCTCCTTCGTACTTCCTGACCTACCTGCACTCGAAGTGCCCCACTCCAGCTGTACGATCCATACACTAGCTCATTTCAGCTTGTTGGCTTACTACCAGAATCCATGCAAATCTAGCTTTATTGGTGTCAAAATAATTCGTGCCACGGCCTCCAGGTAATGTGACTCACTCTGTCCTGCGAATGGCCCCGTCCTCCCTTGGTGGACGACCCAATACCCCCCCCCACACACAACAGAGGGATCTCCAACGATGCTGCTGCCTGATGAAGCCGTTAGGGGAGGCATCGGACATTCCTTCAAAAATATTGGGAGCATCAATGAATGGTAGTTAAACCTATATGGGTTATACCGTAGTAGTGCCTTATTTTACTGAATCTCGGCTAGCGCAGTTGCAAGGGGGAAGGGAAGGAGGTGCGCGTTTATTTGACTCAGGGACGCGCAAGTGACCAGCGACTGGGAGTAGTGTCTATATCGATCTAGCGTCTCATGGGCTTTACCAGATGGACCAGAGTTTTCCAGGGTCTCGAGTGGGCTGAGAGCTACAGGTTATCAGTCTAGGCTCTAAAAGTGTGCACGAAGGATATAGCGCGATAGAAGGGTAAGAAATAGCTGTAAGTGTGGGAAGAAGGGAGCGATAAAGAGATTGGTGCAGAGTGTGGCGCAGTGGAGGGTCGCTACCTCGCTTATACTTACTATTCCTCTTCCGCATGCTGGACTGGCCACACGGTGGTTAGAAGCTAATCGATACTATGCTTCCAAGCCATAGAGACGCTGGATGGACTCTTGGTAGACGGCTGTGTGCGCGCGGATAGACGTAGATCTGTTCTATACTTTCCAGTCGCGAACGCATGCGAATGCTTGGAAGGATGTGGACGCTTGCCGCAAGGTAAGAAGGGAGTCTTACAAGCGGATCACGCCCAAAGAAATAAAGCGATCAGTGAACGCAGGTTTAGGTGTGTCTACTTCTCTCTGACCGTATCTTCAAGTTAAACAGGCAGGAGGCGTGCGATTGCCAGCCTTATGAAACAACTTATGACTTTACTCGCGTGTGAATGCCCGCCGCGATGTGAATCTCCTGACCGACATCTTAGAGCTTGTTCATTGTGGTATGTGCAGAATAAAAAGAAGACATTACTTTTGTAGCACCGATAACCATTCATCCAAACAACAACATATATGATACTAAAGAGATTGATAATGCGTATTGTATTTGATATAATGGATTTGGTATATCACAAAGAATGACAATTTACAAATGGCAGTAGAGCACCGGAAATTTGATAGACATTGGTGTATGAGTATTGGAGATATTTCACACAAACGCGAGATGATATGTTATGCACATCGAAGTGACACAAACAACGTTTCCAGAATTTCAAACCCGTTTATCGTCACTGGAAGGTAGCGTTTATGGAGGTGTTAACATAACACCTTTGAGGGGGTAATTGAGCATTAACGTCTTCCCTCGAGATAGATGACTTTGGGAGGATATGAGTGTTCTATACAAATTATTTGAAACTTGAGCAATAAATAAAAGATGAAGGAAGAACAGGCGACAAATGCACTGAATGAACCAACGATGATCACCTGAAACGTGAAGGCTTCAAGGTCTGTACATGGTTTTAGGTCTGCATATACAATATTTTACTGCTAAAGTTATTTTGTTGGTTGTAGGGTTATTTTGTTGACGCTTTCAATTATTATTACTGGCACGATGGGCGTTTCTACCTGATGGCTCGACACGACAATAGGGACAAAGTGCCCCTTGCTATCGTTATTCCTTGGCGTGTCTGAGCCAGTCAGGTTGAAACTTGTGATATCTTGTGACGTTCACGAAGACGACACTGTCAGGCGTAGGTAGAAACTACTTGTCAACTCTTGCAAAAACCTGTCAGCTCTTGTATAGAGATGAACACAAAATGCGACAATGGAAAGCAGTAAAGTGCAAAATGATCTACCCCCCCCTTCCTCCTCGCTGAACTACGCTTGTTGTTGTGTTAATATATAGTTTGAAGAACCTTAGCATGATATTGTTCTTACTACTCGGTTTGGTGTTCTGTTGATCAAACGTAAACCGTTGTGAGAAGGAGTGTCAGATTTTTGAGTCTATACGATAATTTGCATGGTTTTACCTCAGGTGTTTCAGGGACAGTCCATATCTTGGAACAGGAGAGGGCGTGGCTGCAGGCTTCAACCAAACATAGCGTGAGATGGGCTCCTCATGGAACACTTCTATACCAGGCAACTGTTGCCCTGTGTAGTGCTGCACAAAGCGACCTGATCACAACTGCCCCAAAACAGCAGGACCCGTCCAGAACTACACCTGCTGCTATGTTCAAAAGAAGTAGCAACCACGCCCTCTTCACCTCCAGGATAAAGGTCATTGAGGATTAGGTCCTCGCTGTTGATCACTCTCCTTTCGGAATGGTTTTGGTTCGATTCAGATTCCCAGTGGCTGATTGAATGCGATATGGCCTATGGGGTAAGCCGAAGAACAAAACAGTGTCTTATCCTCCCTGAAAATTCCGGCACCAATATACCGTCCCCGGAGGGCAAAAGACTTGGTTGTCCTGGGGGGCTAATTCGGGATTTGAACCCCGTATTGCGTGAGTGATGTAGTGGCACTTGCCACCACATCCCCTCCAGGATATGAGATGTTTACCCTGTGAGGCGAAGCTTTTCTTAATTGAGTGACTACTTAAGGTTGGGGACATTCTTAGCCACGGCCGAAATGGGTGAAGCATTCGATTATCGGACCATCGATACGATTGCGTTTGCGTTTTTTTTGTTTCTTTTTTATTTGGTCTTCTGCTTATGCATTTCTTCTTTTGACATTGTCCCCTCCTTTTGCTACTAATAGCTACTGATACCGCCTTACTCCTTACTTTGTTGAGAATTAAATTGAATGAATGTGAATCACGAAAAAAGCAGTCGGTAGAATTCAGACGCAAGTTTTTAGGAACTTTTTTAAAACGTCCACTGAGAGATGCCTCGCATGTTTCAGAAACATAGTCCAAACCAGTCTTTCTACCGTTAACTTCCGCCCGGCACGTAAAACGTGTTTACGACAGTTTTTAGAGAAACATTGAACATTCTTAGTCCTACAGATTACTTTCATTCAAACACTTTTATGGGTGTTTTTACTACTCTAAGATTTTTTAACCGTTTTATTTTTGGTTCCTATGAAAACGACCACTGCACAAAAACTACTTCTTACCCATCCCTGTATCGCAAAACAACAGTCAGTGTTGTGCGTTCCGCAACAGTTGTACTGGTGGAATGCTGAGCCTTCACGGCATTGGGTGTGTCTGAAAACAGTAACTTCACTTACTTTTAGTAATGCCGCACGATGAAACAAAGTATTTTAATTCTTCCAGCCTTCGGCTAAAGTTCTCCAAAAGGACCAGAATATCAACTGGAAGGTGGGGGTCCGTAGTTGGGAAGGGGAGGGGGGTCGCTAGGCAGGGATGGGTCATGTTGAAGAACATGCAGAATGCATTATAAATAAAAGTAAAATAAATAATAGAAAAAAGAAGTATAGAAATAATCAAAAGTGCATAATAAAGTTATGAACCTTATTGAACTATTGGGTCACCAATCCAAACCAGTATGGGAGTCGAATGCCCAAGTAGAAAAGATCAGCCGAGTTTAAGCGAGGTTAAAATGTAACAGAGCTGGACCTGAGTTCTACCGAGGCCTTTTTTCGACAGAGGGTCGTATTAACACCAGTGCACTCCTCGTCTGAGAGAAATTCGACCCCCTCCTCCACCCCTCGTACCCTATCCCTCACACTACCTACCTTTCTCCTGAAAGTTTCCCCACCCCACCCTCCCGTCACTTCTTCTGAGCTCCAGGGATCCCTTTTCCAGGGATTCCTTCCCTCAGTAATTTACCGTCGACTGGGGGAGGGGTAGTATTTCACGCTATAGCACATGAAAGACGAAAAACGAGAAAACAGGGAAAAGTCAACTATTGAAAGAATTTTTTTCAGAGGCGAGTACGACCTCCTCCCTCCAACGACCAATCGACCCCCCCTCGCCGGGGATCTCCAGCGTACATACGATGTGAGCTGACTTACGCTACCATCACCGCCATTTCACCAGTACTATCCCCTAAATGGATGACTGTCGTGGTTGGGGACG